CACGGAAAAAAGAAAACTCGAAAAATTACAGTGTAAAATGCAACATGGCGCTTCATGATGAAAACTGGAAAAATTACAGTTTTATATTGTAATTATTACAGATTTTGTAAGAATTACACTGTAGAATGTAATATTTACATTGAAAGCTCTGAATATTAAATTAAAAAATTGAATTTAGAAAAATGTTATTTCAAATTGTAATTTTTCTAGTTTTGATTACGACGGGACCGATTTTATATTTTATACTGTAATTTTTCGAGTTTTCTTTTTTCCGTATAGTGTCACTAAAATAAGTAATGAAAATTAATAATCAGTTAATTGATTAATTGATTAAGCTACTAACCGAGTTTTTTATAAATTACAGGAAAAATCTCGTAAAAGCGCGGTTAATAACTCGATCAGCTATTAGGCAAAAAAATAATATTTTAGAAAAATGAAATAATCAATTTAACAACAATAAGGCAGCTTGAGATAGCTTGAAATAACTTGATCAATTGGAGAAGATGTATAATAATGGGATCGGTACCTTAAGTGGTAGCTCCTAACATGTAATCAGGGAGATCCGGGTTCGATTCCCGGCTTAGTTCCCAACCCAATATTTTTCAATTTATTCTTCGCTTTTGATGAAAAAATTTTCTTTCTATTATTGTCATAATATTTGAAGTAATAATTTTTACTTAGTTGGATAAAAGTAAAGTCTGTGACCTAAGAGGGCAATAAATGGTTACAATTATTCTGTTTGTAGTAATAGTTATTGTTACTTATGATTTATCACCATTTAATCATCTAACATGTAATATAAATAGACAGATTAAACGCGCAAAGATAAACGAAAATTTGGAATAGATTGTTAAATTTATCTTAAATTTAAATACTGTTTGAACAATTACCGTAGTTGATAGATAAACTTTAACTGTACAAGTATAAGTTTCTTGTTCTTGTCACGTTCAAACAAACATCTTTGTGTTTAAACAGAAACTTACAATATCCCTCACGGAGTCTTCATGTTCCTTGGGTACAGTGAAACAGACGAGGATTTCATGAAAACTTACAATAATTTAACTGTGTTGGACGCGGTTAACTCACTTGACAGCTTTATTCGTGAAGAAGCTAACAATAAGGTTTTTATAATTTTAATACTTTTATATTCTATAATATATAATAGTAATCAATTTTTTTTTTTAAATTTGAAAAACTTCATAAATAATTTGTAATAAGTTAAGCTGCTTTCATTATTTTAATAACATTGAATTAAAATAATAAAAATAAAAAATAATAATAATAAAAGTTTAATTATCTTCCATATAAAATTAATTATCGACTATAACTAATGTAATTATTTAATTATTCGTTATTATCATGCCCCGTATAAATAACATGCATAAAATTAATACAAATTTACAAACAAACAGTGAAGTAATTAATTATTGCTACTAAAATATGAAAATGTACGAATTTATTTAATTATCACGAGAACTAAATTTCATTATTTATTTATTTTATTATATTTAATTAACGAGGCATTATTATTTTAATAAATTCTACCATTTTAATTATTAATAATTCATGACGTGAAATTTGATAGTCACTCACTCAAATATTGAAGTACAATACTTTGTAAGCATATCATATTACTGATATTCCTGCCAGCCAATGTTTATGGTCTAATCCAACGATAGTTACGTTGTCCTGATAATAATTCTGCAAATCAGTACTAAATTTACAATTCAGTGATTGTTTATGTTACATCAACAGAATTATTATTATTATTATTATTATTATTATTATTATTATTATTATCCGAACAAAAACAGTTTCACTGTAAAAAAATCGCGCCAAGTTCACGTTCATAAGACTATTAAGAAAAAAAAATTAGTTTTTTCTTTACAAAAAGATGTAAAATAAAAAAATTAAAAAATCCAAGTAACTGATATGATTGTTTATGATTTTCGGAAATTAAAAAAAATTTTGTAAATTTAAAAATTAAAAAAACAATTTTGGAACGTATTTAGTGTGCGTGGTTACGAATTTTATTTTATTTTTTATGAAATTCCTAAAATCTATCTACTAGGACTTTTAAAAAAAATTGAAGTACACAATGACGCACACCAAGTATGTTCCAAAATTGTTTCTTTTAATTTTGGAACGTACTTGGTGTGCGTCATTGTGAACTTCAATTTTTTTTTAAAAGTCCTAGTAGATAGATTTTAGGAATTTCATAAAAAATAAAATAAAATTCGTAACCACGCACACTAAATACGTTCCAAAATTGTTTCTTTTAATTTTTAAATTTACAAAAAAGTTTTTTTTTAATTTCCGAAAATCATATACAACCATATCGGTTACTTGGATTTTTTTATTTTATATCTTTTTGTAAAGAAATAAAATTTTTTTTTTTAATAGTCTTATGAACGTGGACTTGGCGCGATTTTTTTTTACAGTGAAACTGTTTTTGTTCGGATTTTTAAACAAGCTATCAATTCATCAATATTCAACAAAAACACTAGTATATCATAATTTCTTGTTTATTTTTCATTAATGAGCATTGCTGCAGAATAGACAGTACATAAATTTAAATTAGACAATAAAATAAAAATTAAAAATTATTTTTAGTTATCTTTATCTTTTTGCATAGCAAAAATAGTATAGTCGAGAAAGCACTTCAAAATTAACAAAGAATTTTCACATGCATCGGCACCCTCTGAAAAAAACAAAATAAAAAAACCAGATTACATATGACTTATTTTTCCCAAAAAAACTTATAAAAATATACTTCGTAAGTAATTGAGACTTACTCGGGTCCTTGCACTTCATCATGACCTCATCAATTTTTCCATCTGGAAATTCACGGGTCATATCTTTCTTCATGTTTTCTTCGTTCAAAGTTCCATCATCATTTATCTAATTACAATTTTTTTTTATTTTATTCTTTAGTAAATTTATTTAAAATTAAACTATTTATTACTTACGACTCCCTTTTTTATCATTAAACATTTTGAGTAACATTGAAGTTTCTTGTTATTCATTTCCCATTCTCTGCCTTGTAGTTTATCAACGGAAGCTGCAAGTTTTAAATAATCAATTAGAATTTCAATTAATATTTTTATTTATGCTGTAGTTTATTTAATCATTCATTACTTTGATCAACACCACTTTCCGCCATACATTGTTTTAAGTACTCGCTGTTTTCTGAGTTTGAATCAGCTATGTTACCCTGGTACAAAAGTAAAATTCATTCGAAATGAAAATAGTTATGAATTAATAAATGATAAAAAAAAATTACCAGTATAGTACTTACTAAAATCCCAATAAAACCAAGTGCAAAGATAGAAGCGAATACTTTCATTTTTCGTATGATTACGTTGTCACTTGTATAGTTGCTATCAGAAAGCTGTAATTACTGAATGATAAAAGTAATCGAATAATTTATTTTATGCACTTCTCATATCAAAGTTATTGAGTAATCGAGGTCAATAGTAACTTTTATTTTAATTTACGATAACTTGTCGATTGATTCATTGCAATATCGAAAATTGTTGGAAAATTTTCCGTCAGAAATTAAGAAAAATTAAAATGTAGAAAAAAAGTGAATCAACACATGTTACAATAAAGATCATATATTTTCTGCTCTATACGTAACTATTTGTCATTGAAATATACGTAAGAGATCAGAGGTTATATATTATGCATACACGAATAGTAAAAATTGAAAATATAATACAGATATGATAACATTTTTCTTCAAGTCAATCTCTTTGTTGTATCATTATAATTCTATAATTTATTTATCATTATTAATTTTAATGATTATTAAATTTTATTAATGATAATTAAATTTTTTAAATAAATAATAAAAAATTTTTTTTTTAATAGTCTAGTCAACAAGTTCAAAAACGTGAAAAATAGAGATAAAGGTCCTAAAAATATGAGCGATGGCTCATTCGATTCGGAATCACCTCCAGAAAAATGTTTTTAAAGAGAGTTGAGCAATAAAAATAATTTTTTTATAACATAAAATGTGATTTTAAAAATTTTAAAAAATTCTAGTATCTTCTTAACACTTGAAAGAATCGATCCCTGAAAAAAAAAAAGTTTAATCACCATTTTTCAAAAAGTTATTCAATTGTTAACTAACAAATTTTTTCCCAATCTCCATTGGCATAAACAATGGGATGAAAGGTATAAATAATAGGCTTATAAATTTTAAACTTCGTGGAGGCCTTTTGATATATGTACTTTATAAGATTCTGCGGTAAATTTTCATAAAAGTTTATTATTAATTTGTTAATTATGATTTTTTATAACTATTGAAAAGCTATGCCTGTTTTCACATCTAACAATGGCAGTAATTAACATAGGTTATGAATTTTTTACGTAATTTGTTTTTAAATTTATAATTAAATTTAAAAAAAAACGCCCAAAATTTGTAGTTTTTAGACTAAAATATCTTTTAAAGGTATCACAAAAAAATATCCGCGGATGAAATACTCACGTTCATGTAAACATGAAAGAACCCTTCTTAAGGCTCTGTCTTTTAAGCTCTTTACACTTTTTTTACATCGTATCGATAAAAAATAAGCTAATTTTAATCGTAAACAAGAATGATAAAAATTTGCGGATTTCATTAAATTTTAGAAAAAAGAAAAATTAACAATGTAATTGTTTTACCGTCGCATTTAACGGAAACGTATTATTTTCCAGACTATGTGTACCCTCTTCTTATACAACGTCACACAGGAGAATGTAATAGCAGTGGCGCGACTCGGCGGAAATAATCCACCGCCTAATAGCAGTCAAGCACAGAGCTTACAGCACCTGCTACGCGTCAAGGTAAGGTTAAAATAAGTAATAAATTTTTTACAATTCAATTCAATCCCATTACTTTCAGCATTTTTTATGTTTACCAATCAACTAATTAAACCCCCACTCTTGTCCTGGAGCTAAAACACCGAGTAGAGTGCTATTCAATGTTATTCAATCGTTAATAATATTTTTGATGCAGGGAGTCTATGAATTAAATGGTGTTTGATATGTTTTGATAAATCAAACAATTATCTTTTATTATTTAATTAAATATAAATGATATTTATTTATAGTACGATTAAAAATAAATTTCATCGAGGGACAACTAGCGATCGGTATGAAATTGTTTGGTTATGGAAATTAATCAAAGAGTCAACTGTTCGCATACGCGGGCTTGTGACGAGCCGCAAAATATGAATAATTGAAGCTATTCATGCGGTTTCCGTTTATTTTTACCCTACAAAATTCTATACACATTTTCTCCCTCGACATTTTCGATCGATTATTTTTGAAAATATATTTAGCAAACTAAAAATATGCACCATACTCACGGGAGCTCATACTGTAGAGATTAGAATAAATATCATAAATCGCGCATATATGTTCATATTTCTGTTTATTTCAAATATTTCAAAATTTATGATGTTACATCACAAAAATGCGTATAAAAGTAATTAAAGTACTAATTTTTACATAGAACATCGTAAGTATAAAAATATAAAATTATGAAAATGGAGATATTAGAGTCTGGTCCTAGATTACAATGTGGCAATTGTAATTTTTTCTACAATTTTATTTTGCGTATACTTTCAATTATTACAGAAGAATTTCCAATTAAACATTCAAAAACACCGTATTATTTTAAAGTGATTTCAATAGAACCAATCTGAAGGCTAATTAACTCTCTAGCTATAATTAAAAATAATTAAATAATTGAGTTGCGTTCTATTCTTATTGACTGGCTCCTTTGTGTTGTTGTTTCAAATAAATTGATTTTCGTTAACGATTCTTTTGCCAATTATAGTATTGGCTCATTATTATACAGACATAGAGATACTTTAGTAATAATAAAAATGATTACTAACATGTCCGATGATAAGAATGCTCCGATTTGTGCACTAATTAAAAATTTTTCACTTTATTTTTTAAGTGCCCCAATTGCCCTTCCTCCCCCACGGAAAAGAAAATGCGGTAAATCCAACTACACTTGGAGTAGCATTTACCACAGGATGGACTAAAGTATATATACGCTATAGTTTGTTTACGGATGATTTTCATGTGTTTCATAGCCAACTCCAAGTGTGGTTGGATTTGCCGCACGTTTTTTTCCGTGCCCATATCTATTTGTCTCTTCCATATTTTTTCTTTACAATTGATCTTTATTTTTCCATCACACGAATTTCCAAAACAATTTTCTGAAATTAACCTTGTGGTATATTTTAACTGATAAAAAACAATTTGATAATGTAAATATGAAACAGTCCGTCCGTTGAACATACAAAGTACACAAGGATTATTAAGTGATTGACATTCCGGTCTATAGAATACACGCCGATAATCAACTGGGATTGGCTAAATGACTCTACGTCAATGTATACCGAAACCTCTATACTGTTGCAAGCAACATGTGAGCGTATACACACTAATTGGAATTACGGTTGTTTACTAAAACTATCAATCGGTGTAATAAATAATTAAAATTAAAATACGTACAGTGGAAAAAAGTGCACAGAATAAATTAACTCGATAAATTGTACACGGAAAAAAGTAAACTGTAATAAATAACAGTCGATTTGATAATAAGTAATGATCAACTGCTAAAAATTACCATTTCAAACAGTAAAATCGTGATTTTACTATTCACTTTATAATATTTACCATTTAAATGTTACAATTTACTCTTTACATGGAAGAAAATACTATTTCAAACAGTAATATTTGTTATGTAAATGTCTAAAATGTTAAAGTATAATAATTAAGAATTCAGACTGTGATATTTATCATTTCGTACCTAAAAAATGATCTTATGATGTGTAAAAAGTATAAAATAAAGTTAGTAAATTTCTAATACAAGCAACGTCAATATTTACAAAGTAAAATGGTAAATTTTAAACGCAACGCTAAAAATCAAACTGTAATTATTGACTTGCTTGGACTGGTAAAATGTATATTTTAAAAGTATAATTTTTACTGTTTCAAATTTTAAATTCTCCCAGAGTGAGACCTCCTTCTCTTTCATCTGAGTTCCCCTTTTCATCATAATATCGACTATATATTGAAATGGCAATTTTTACTGTTTGAAACTGTAATTTTTTAAGATGAAAGAGTTGTTATTTACTATAGTGACAGCTACTAATCACTTATTTTAGATATTAAATTATAAATTGTGGCTTTTATACTTTCTACATTAAGTTCTGTAATATTTATATTTTTGCCACTCCGATGTCCACTTTACTGTTTGAAACTATAAAAATTAACCGGAATCCGAGTGAATATTACAATTTACTTTTTTCCGTGTAATTGTCATGGTACGCTGATTGAAGAAGTTTTTAACAGTTAATAAATTCATTTCTTTGAAAAGGATTTATTCAATTATTAATTTCTTTTTTTTCTTGATAATTCCATCTATTAGTATATTTAGTTAAACTCCTCAATTAAGTGATGGAAAAGTTTATGACGAAATGAATATCATATTGATTAATATTTGAGAGAATTACATCAACGATACAGAGGTTATTATGTTGAGTCGATCATTCGATAGAGTCACGCTCGTGTTATAAATCCCGAACTCAAGTAGTATAGTTGTATTTGTACTATACTAACCGAATAGAAGTTAGTATGTTTGTGCTGGTATGGTGCAAGTTAACTAGATATAGAGGAGTAGGAGGAGTAGGAAGGAAGGGGATAGATATAGCGGTGTAGTCTCCTGAAATGAGATAGGGGAATGGGTACAGTATGGGTAGTCTTAGCTTTGTCTAAGAGTCTCATAGCTTTTAAAGTTTCGAGTTAACGAAAAATCGATTTAGACTTCTCAGAAAGTCCAACATTGTAATTTCATGATTCTGAGAAACTGCCACGCTGGGATTAAGCTTCCCCTTGAGGAGATGAAGGCTTCTCCGGGAGGAGAGGTCAGGGTCCGTTAAATTTGGAGAACCATGCGCCGAATAGTAGTTGTAGTAACCCAACTTTGTTTTACGTCTATCCTCAACAACTTCTGAGCTTTTCCAAAGCTTGTGCGGGTATACACTTCTTGTACTAATAATAAAACGGGATCAAAGAGATCTCAAGTGCGTAAAAAAGTTTCAAATTTTAACTTGTACTCACTTAAATAACTAACCTAACTTCATTGATTGAAGAAAATTATTGCTATCGTTAAACCTTTTGTAGCTTCAGCGACCTCCACGGCAAAAATACACGGTTTTACGAATTAGTTTTTAAAAATTCTAGCGCATTTGCACTTTATACTTCTTTCGCGGGTAAAAAGTAATTGTTGTTATCAAACCGATATTAGTGTCTCCTTTCCACTACTCAAATGTGATAAATTTTTGATTATTCATTAATTAATATCTGAGAAATTGTGTGATAATTATGGATCAGACTACTATTATTAAAAACTTGCTTAATTGATATTTAATGTTACTTTAGTTTTTATAACAATCGTAAGAGAAATTTTCAAGATAAATATTTAAGTTCTCGTCCATATTTAAAATATTTAAATGACTAAATCTTGGGAATTTGGACAATAAATGAAGATGTTAAATTAAAGGAATTGCAACGTTTCGCTAATTTATTTCAGTTTCATCAGGCAAACTAAAAATAAAAAATTATTTTTAGTTAATACAAATATTTGACATATAAAACAAAATAAATTAAAATAACAATAGTCACTCTTATGGTTAGCATCCTCGTCTCGTATTTACAAAGTCAATAGATGTAATAGAGTAAAACAGCATATTCATTATCACAAACATTTTTTAAATTACAATATTAACAAGTTGTTTAGATTTCTCTCAAATACCATTCAAATTAATAAACTAATAATATAAAATAAATTTATTTTGTTTAAAAATTGTTAAAAGTTCACAAAGTTCAATTTCTAACGCGGATTTCTAGAATATTGTCTAAAACATTTCTAGTATATTGTGTGGCAATGAATGAGATATATAAGACAATTTCAAAGGAGGGTGAGTGTTGACTACCCGAGCTAACCCGACTAGAAACTTCAGTGAGGCAGTGATTCGGCGCAAGTTAGGCATGCCGAATTCCAAACTTGCGCCAAGTGAGGCATCCAAACCAGACTGAAGTTTGGGACGTAACGCAGTTGCGAGTTTGGGCCTAACTTGGCTTCTGACTTAGGCAGTGGTTTGGAAACCATACTTGCTGGTGACTTTTTAAACCTTATTCGGTCCGAATTTAGGCAGCAATTTGGAAACCAAATTCGCAAAGAAAAATCTAAATTTAATTATTTCTTCGTTTTTATCTTTTTTATTATAAAGCGAAAATTACTAATAACAAATGCTTATTTTTTTATCTACTTTTACTATTTTAAGTATAAATATTGAAATTAGGACTAAATTTTTCAAATAAGCGAATAAAAAAAAAATTTATTTTTTTTCTTTTATTTAATATTATTTTTCATTATTTTTTCGGTAACTATTTTTTTTGTTTTTAGCGCTTTTTTTAATGCGAAGAAGTTTTTTTTGATTGGGGGATTTTATAAGTCAAGGAGGAAGGAGTTGATGGAGGAGTTAGATACATTATTCACACACAACACTTAAATTTACATCACACTCACCTTAAAAGTAATTATAATTAATAATTATCAATTATTTAAAATATGTCGAACGCGAGACTCGAACCTGTACCCGACGCACAAGAGCCCTGTACCATACCGCGACGCTACGCCGATGATGAGCGACCTAGATGTTTATAAACAAAGGCTTTCAATAAAACATGCATGTCAGTGATCAGTTATTAACGAATAACAATTACTTCTAATAAAGTTTTGTACGATTATGATTATAACAAAAGTTTATGCAGTTAGATAAATTTATTTCTAAGGATGTATTTTATTGACATTCTTAATTGTTTGTTACTATTAGCTATTATTCTACATCCACATATTGTAAATTGAAATAATAAATTTAGAAAAAAAAAATTAATCAAACATTAAATTTTCCAAGTTTTGGGTTGGAATATTATAAATTTTTTTAAATCAATGAACTATAATTACCGATACAATTTATCTTTATTAAAAATTGAAAATTTGAAAAGCTCAACAAAATTATGATACCGCGAAATTTCCATGATTTCTCTTTTAGATAAGGCGTGACGATGATAATCATAACATTGAAATGACTATCT